GATTGATGTGTTATGAGTTTATGTGTGTAGTTACTCCAATTTTTGTCAATTTTTGGCTAAAAAGTGGGAGTAAAGTATTAATGTTATTGGTTATCCTGATGTTATGATATGTATTGACATGATGACCAACATTGTGATAGGACTTTGCTACTGCTAAGGAAAGAGTAGTGTGTTGTTATTGCTTGCTGAATGCAACTATTAAGGGGGAGCATGATAGTTTGTGAGGCTGAATGTATTTGAGGAAACTACTGCTGTTGCTGCACTGATAAGTCTATATTTCAAGATTTATCATGGTTTGGTTGTTTTAGCCAAAAAATTTCAAAGGGGGAGATTGTTAGTTCCATGATTCTATGATTGGCTAAATTTTGGTAAAACATGATTCTACACTGATGTTAAGTAAGATGTTATAACATCTTCATCAACTGTTATGACAGTACTACTGTCATGTGTTTCAAACAAGATGTTGAGACAGATGTCATGACATCTTTGTCTAGTACAGCAGGCGCTGCTACTTTATATCTCTTGACATAGGTGTTTTGGTTTGATGAGATTCTCTTGGATATACCTCATCGTTATGCGCAAGTCAATGAGATTTATTAGGAACAAAGTGCAGATTTAATTGGAAGGATCTTTGAGACTTTTTAGAAAACTATAAAATACTTGTTTCTATTTTTCTGGAGAAGATTTAGCAGATGATTTGGAATTTGATTTGATTTGATCAAATATGAGTTGGTTTTATTTATGAGAAGATTTGGAGTTTGATATGATTTGATTTTATCAAATCTTAGGAAGCTTTTGCTAAAGTCCATGCCCATACTAGAAGAGTCTATAAATAAGGAATTGCTAGACCTAAGGAAGAAAAACATTCACAACAAGAAGATCTTGGGTGAAAAATAAGGTTTAGGATTTTGAGATTCTCTTGTGTGTGTGACTTTATAAGTCACCCTTTTTACCTTTTGATGGATCGTGGTAGATATATTTAGATTATAATTTGTCCACTCAAAGCTTGTAAGCAAGAGTGTATTCTCCTTGATTGAAGTTGTTAAGCAAGATCAAGTATTGTCTTTGAAGAGTGTCTTCTATATTTTATTAATTTGTTGTTATCACTGCTGTGATTGAGGGGGAGTGAGAGGTGTCTCATATTTATGAGTGTCCAAGGTAGAAGTTGCACTGGTAGGGATTAAGTGAGGGGTTGTAAACGGGGGAGTTTAGCTCTGAATTGATACTACTGATAGTGGAAATCCTTCCTAGATTGGTTTCCCCAGATGTAGGTGTTGTTGCACTGAACTAGGTTAACAATTCATTGTGTTATTTATCTTTCTGCATTTAATATTTTGCTAAATTTAAATGGTTAGATAAATTGTTCTGTCATTCTGCAGATGTTACAACATATGTCATGACACTGTTTATTCTGGAAGTAAATCATTTTGCTTGTGTTCTGTCCTTGTTCTGTTTTAAGCAGAGATCAATGTCTAGGACATCTGAAATCTGCATACCAGAATTTCAATATACGTTCAATATCAAAACACCAATCTCCGACAACGGGTCCATTTTGTTGAAGCGGTAAAGCGGCAAGTAAAAGTAACTAAGTATCTGATTTTTTCGTCTCCACAGAGATTGGTGTGGCATCAAATGTCGTTCAACGGTTCCTGTGTTTCTAAACTTGGGTTTGTAAGGTTTGAATTTAAAGCTAAACTATGTATAATGAATGAAAGAAAAATATAAAGTTTCAGAGAGATATGAGAGTTTATCAAGATCGAATTTTATCCACCAATCAAACATGTAATTTACAAATTAGTTTTGCACAATCTAAAAATTTACCAATATCGTCATGTATCGCTCACATCAGAGTGCATGTCTTCCACACCGACGAGATTTCTACCGTATTGTTTAATGAACAATATCTTAACCTATCAAACAACACAAAGCATTAAGATTTGATACTCACGCGAATGTTAAAACTAAATCTATGTCTAGAGTTTAGAATCCAACAGATGATTATCCTAGATTCAGATTCGAAGAGGGTTTCTTCATCACTGTTCGAATCAAAAGTAAATAGTTAAACAAGGATAACATCAAATATTAACGCATGAATATATTATACAAAACTCTATGATAAATAAAAATAAATACTTTAATAGTAAAATTACATACAATCCCAACAAGAAAGAGATTACAAGGAGAAAAAAGAAGATGAACAAACATCCACCGCGATTTTTCAACGATAGAAGTGAATCCAACTCCGGATCTTCAAGATGCACCCACTCTTGTTGTTTTCTAAGCATCTATCTCTAAAGAATGATATCTGATCAAATGGGTATAAAAAGTTGCAAGAGATAACTAAAAAATCTATGAAGAAATGAATAATATACAAACTAAAAATTTTTTGTCTCGCCCGACAAAAGTCACTTTATTGGCCATCAATCAGTCAAAAATGCATCAAACCGTCTTTGGAAAATATCTACATTCGCAAGACCTCGCCCGGAGAGCTCACCCAGCGACCATGATGCAAAATAGTTTCTTCCTCTATAGTGAATTTCCTCGCATTCAGCTCGTCCGACACCACTCGCCTAGCTATGCTCGCAAATGTTCCCCTTCTTGGCTTTGTTTCCACTTCGTTGCTTTGTGTCTTTTTCTTTGACTTCTTGCACATTTCTTGCACACTAAACACACATATTAAGAATACCAAAGTCAATAGCAATTTATATGACATTTATAAGAAAACTCGGAGAAGTTAATCATTGAAACTGTAAAATAGAGTCGAAAAATGTCAAGACTTTATGTACAAAAATAGTCAAGATTTACACATATCAGAAATTCACATCCTCGTGAACTGAATGATAGATTCTACATATAACTCTTCTATGGAAGAATTCACAACAAATTCCAGACATCCATTATTTTTTCCACTACATCACCAGCTTTGACCATTTCCACATTTTCACCTCTGATTTGTTTGGTTCCTAATGCAAGTCTAAGTTTGTTTGTCACATTTTTTTATTTGTGATACCTACAAAGTAATGCATAAGATTTAGGAAACACTTTTGCAATTGAATTTATCAGTGCAGTATCGCGATCAATTACAATGGCCTTTAGCATATTTTCTTGGTCCTTCAACATAGTCTTGGACACTTCCAAAGCCAATACAACGTTGTCCTGTTTTTCTCTTTCCAAAAATGCAAAACACACTAAAAAAATTCATCTCCGTCAAAGTAGCACAAACCATTTCCAAAAGTGGAAGTTTATACTTATTTGTTTAGTATGTTGAATCAATTATAATCAAAGTGGAAAATATGTTGAACAAATTGATGGAATTAGGATGAGTTCAAAATATATCTCGAACAGTGACTACATCCTCACAAACTATCTACCTAAAAACATAGTGTTCATCATTAATACGTTTCAATAGCTGTTGCATTTCAGTTTTTGGTCCTCTTATAGCCTTGTTGTTTGTTGCACGAACATTGTATATTTTATTAATTTTGAGACATTTTAAGGTCTTTTCCACTTCAACATTTCAAGTATGTTTTTGGTCGGCTCCATATTCAGTGTCATATCAAAAATAAGTTTCTTCTCTTCAGGATTAAGGTGACACAATGGGACGATTGACTAACTTGTGACAATAGTAATGATTATATATAACATAAATCACATTAAATTTCTATATATTATTCGCCTTACGGTAACCACAAACCTTAAAAGGACAATCACACTTTCTCAATCCTATGTCATCTTGTTTTAACTTTCAAATAGGTTGTTCGTACTAAACCCAACTTTGGAGGTCTCCGTATGGGTCCGTTGGAGCATATGTTCACACTCAATAAACTCCTATTTAATTGTAAAATGTTCACAAACAACTACCTCATCAACAATCAGTTTAACATCCACCTCAACATCAGTCAATTTAACATCATCTTCGACATCACTCAATTTAACAACATCCTCCACTTCATTTGGTTTAACGTACAAAGCAGCTTTGAAAAGGTGTAAGTGTGCACTATATCTTTCGCCAAGCATAATAGAAAAAAAAAACATATTTAATATTCAAATTCAATTTTAGAAGAATCCATAATTGCATATCCAAAACACTAACAACCTAATCCATAGTGTATGTCAAGACTCATCGTCATATTTACACAACAAAAACTAAATTAATACAAGTAATGTGGAAAGAAATATATGTTCATTTACCTTAAATTTCGACTCTTTTTACTCCTTTTGATATGTAAATCACAATAATGTTTTTCTAATGTAAAAGTTGATTGACAATGGAAGGAGGTTCTTTAAGGATTTTGATAGAATAGTAGTATTTGATAATAAAGATGTAAAGGTGGTGTTAATAAAGATGTAAAGGTGGTGTTTTATTAAATGTTCTGCTTGACATTTTCGTTTGGGGCATAAAATGAGTATGTCTCACTTGTAATGCCTTTTGTGTATTAGATGTGTCTAAAATGCATTTTCAAAATTGTTACGAATTTAATTAAACTCAATCAACTTAAATCAACACCAACGGTGTATCTCCAAATTATTTTTTTTAACATAATAGAGTGTGGCTCCCTTTCAATATTTTGTGTAGAGTGTGGCTCCCTTTCTATATTTTGTGTATTTAATGTGTCAAGAGAGATGAATCTTCAAAACATAATTTGCAACTAAACAGCTAATAAGCTAGCCCTTATTATTTTCTAGCTGGTGGAAAATCCATCTTCGTCCGAAGCATGGAAGAAAAAAAAAGCGAAACCAAAGAAAATGAAGAAAAGGAAAGAGTAGCAAAAAATACCAAAAAAGAGGGAATGTCGTGTTAAGAACATATATAATCAGCACTCGGCAGTATCAAATTATTTAGCACATCAAAATTTAGTTAAAAGTAATACAAATTCCACTCAAGTGCCCATAGTAAGGGCTGAAAACAACCAACAGTATAGGTTGGCTACTCGTAAAATTAACATTTGATTGATATTTTGACAGACAATAAGAAATGACTTGGTTCCTGAAATATGCATTTATGTGATGACTGTGGGGGCCGATCGGCCGGTGAACTCCTCCATCTTTGAAAGTTTCAATGCAGCCTCCACCTGTTATTAAGACAATTCAACTAGTTCAGACGACTGCAAGCTTGTCACTGAAAAAATATATTGAAACTATATAAGCATCTTACAAGAGGTGCAAGTGCTTCATGTGAAAGTCTCCCAATCTTTGATGGATCCTTCTCATATTGCTCAATGTATAGTCGAATAGTTGCACCTTCTGATCCAGTTCCAGAGAGACGGAAGATCTGAGAAAGTAAAGCAAAGAAGGTAAAAAGACAAAATAGTTAGGAGGTAAGTATGAAAAAGTGAATATATCCGTGGAAACAAAAAGTCCATATCAAATCCATAGCACTTGGAAAAGGTGAACTGAAATTAACAATTATTTGTTAAATCCATAGCACTTGGAAAAGATAAACTGAAGCTAACAATTATTTGTCAGACAAAATGCATTTTCAAATCTAGTCCACGTGCATTTTCTATCCCAATAAGCTAGTAATAGATGTTCAGTAAGCTTTTCATCAAAAAGAGTATAATATAATAGTAAACTTACCAATCGGGATCCATCCTCAAACAAATATCGGATGCCCTGATGTGATGAAATGGAACCATCCACAGGATCATTGTATTCAAACTCATCACCGTGAACAACCTTTGAAACATCTGAACTTGCCCCCTTAATAATCCTAAAAAGACAATGAATAAAATCCATCAGATTTATGATGAGCGTTAAACTTTAAATTCAACCCTACAATGTCATTCCTCGGACACATTCTCATATATGGTAACTCATACAGGTTTGTCATACCATGTCCATCAACTAATAGTTTTTGACTTTTGAATTTAATTCAAAATAATTACACAACTATTTTCAAATTGACCCTCCAATGAAAAACAGACCATCATCAAAAGCAACTGTTGTGGAGACCTAGGCACTGAGGCGAGACAGAAAAGAGATTCAGCATTGGAGGTAATCTGGAGAATGGCACATTCAAAGTAGCAAAGAACTGTCCAAAACACTTCAGGAGTTGTGAGTAAAGGAGATCCATCACCATTGTATTTTTATTCAGGAAGTGCTTGCTAGTTACCTAGATTCTTTGGATAGTGAGGGTCATGTTTCATTTTAGGTCATGACTCCTAGAGAAGTCTTCCCGATGTTAGCAAGGTTTTGTTTTATGATTGCTCGAGTTTTTGGTTAATGGGTCGTCAATTCTACGTGTTCTTTATTTGTAAATCTCTTATTTAACGCCTCCAATCAAAAAGTTACAAGCTAGCATAGGTTTGCTCTCGCTAGTAGAGTATTTAGAACAAGAAGTACCATAAGGATAAGAAAGCATCGCTAAATAGCCATGGGGGATCATTATTCTGATGCAAAAGTCAATTTCTACTTTCTAAACATCAATCACTTGGAGAATGTCAAGTCTTGGTCAGACTTGAAAAGCTTTTACATCATCATGAGGAAAACATTCTGTAAGCAATAGTTTAAATAATGTTGAGTATTAATATTAACATACTCATTGACTTCTGGGAGTGAGGACTGCAGTTTGACCAAATGTGCCATCAGTTCCTTAGCTGCACCTGCATCCACATTCTTTAAGGGGGGTGGGGGTTGATTAGGTTACAGATTTTCAGAATGAATTGTACTAAAGTAGGATAAAATGTTAATGAAGCATACTTCGTAGTCATATCGAGTATAATAGTGGCGTCCATAAGTAGCCCAGTGCTGGCGAACAATGTCTTCAACTGTTACAAGCTTGTTTTCAAGATTATCTTTGTTCTTATATGCAAGTATGGATAGCCAGGCCAAAACTGCCCAGATTCCATCCTTCTCACGAATGTGGTCCGAACCTATCCATAAATACAACAACAATCACAAGATAATAAGAGGTTGGAGTAAGTTTAAGAGATTGCAGTTTTCTCTTCTTAATGCAGTAGCAATCACATACCAGTCCCAAAACTTTCTTCACCGCAAACTGAGCACAATCCAGCATCCATTAAATTACCAAAGAATTTCCAACCCGTGGGAACCTGGTTTTGAATAATAAATCAAATAACTGTCTAATAGAAACTAGTGATCATTTTCACACTTCAAGACAATAGAAACAGTTTACCTCAAAAAATTTCAAGTTCAGATGTTTGGCTACAACATCCAGGGCAGCAGAGGTTGGCATGCTCCTACAAAACATTTACAGCTAAAGTTGGTATATACTAGTAAAAATAGTGCCGAGAAGTCAATTTCCATAAGATTAAATTGCTAGGAAATAATCTCAAGAACCAATAGCAGATAAAGAACTCTGGGCCGATGGGGCAAGAAATACCATTGTCCATTACGCCATTCATAAAAAAAAAAAACTTGTCCATTACCAGGAGTTATAAGTATATATGTCTTAAACTCAATGGAGTCCCTTCCTATTCATTGTCCTATTATAAGCACATATGATTACCCCTTTAGCAGCAACTATCTAGACAATTACAAGATTATTACCAACCATTATAAGTATAAGCCTTCCATTACTGCATTTCACATGATCACAATGTGTTGTTATATGCTTGCACACACAAACACACTGAAGTATGTGTGTGTTAGAAAGACAGAGAAGCTAAAAACTTGAAAATATGATGAAAACCTGGCAACTCCCTTTAAGCCAGCAGAAAAATATGGAATTGCTTCGACAGCATTTGCAGCAATAATGGCCACAGAATCCGAAGGAGTGACAAAAAACCTAACATACAGAAGAAAAGTATAAGTAAAAAATAAAATAAAAATAGAAAAGATTTAAACTTATCATTAGTTGAGCTCCACTACCTTTTACCAAGAACCATGTTGCGATCTGCATCACCATCAGCAGCAGCACCAAACTCTGGGACCTCACCTTGTGGTTCTGATTTTCCCAATCCCATTCGAGCAACCAACTCTTTTGCATATGTCAAATTAGGGTCTGGGTGTCCCCCTCCAAAGTCTTCCTGTAATCAAGAAAGTCATCCCCAAATCAAAAGTTGGCAGGCATTGCTAAATATTCCAGACTACTCAAAGCTTATCATTGATGTAATCCATATGCGAATAAAGACCTTTGGTACACAGTTTATCAGAGAGTTTTCTTGTGCCCCAAGCTCATCCACAAAAATACGTTTTGCATAAGCTCCAGCAACTCCATGTAATGCATCATAACTTCAATAAAGTTACAGAAATTTACCATTATGTTTTGGGATGAAGAAAAGGGCAAAAATTAAGATTATTCTATCACAATTTAAAAGAGCATTCACAAAAGATACCAGAAACTGAATTTAGGAGATGTCAGCAGTTTCCTGATAGATTCAAAGTCAAAAATTGACCTGCAAAATATCAACCGAGAAATAAGAGAGAATTGAGTTGGTAGAAGCACATAGCTAGATAGAATGTTTGACTATCATATGAAAATCAAATTCATACTTTCCAAAAACAAGTGTCTTAAAAGTGACTCCAAACTGAATAAATAAAATGAAGGCGAGAAAACTTATTAAAACAAATTTTCACAGCATGACCAAATTAATAACATTTGTATTTCTATAACACTCCAATTGTCTAGGTCAAGTGGTGTAGTGACATAACATGATGAAATCCATTTCCAGAAAGCTTTTTTTGATAAATGAAGAGTGCAATACTTTGTCAATTCTAAAATATCTCACTTCAACTTTATATAAATGTTTAACTATCATATGAAAATCAAATTCATGTTTTCAAAAACTGTCTTAAAGTTAAAAATGAGTCCAAACTGAATAAACAAAATGAAAAGGCGGGAAAATTGATTAAAACATTTTTGCAGCATGACCAGTTTAAGAACATTTTATTCCTTTAACACTCTCCAATTGCCTAGGTCAAGTGGTGTAGTGACATAACATGATTAAACCCATTTCCAAAAAGCTTTTTTTTATATAAATGAAGAGTGCAATACTATGTCAATTCTGTAAAATATCTCACTTCATCAGCTTTATATAATCGCTTGCTGAATCAAAAACCTCAACATCAAATGGTCCTTCAGGCCCTGTAAAGTTTGCGACACCTACTGTGTTGATATCCACCTGGAAAACAAATTGATAATTGGGAAAAAGGTTTAGGTAGATGAACCACATAGAAATCTTAGTTAGATAAATAAAGATAAGGGAAAATATGTAGCCAGGTTGTGAGCAGTACATTTGGCAGATCTGGAGCAATCAAGTACTCCTTGATTGTTGTTGTGTTCTCATATATTTTGTTAGTAATTCCCTCGGGTGCAGGTCCACCATTTTCCATGTTATATTTAATCCCAAAGTCCTGCATAATGGAAACCAATTGACAGTAACAATCACTTAAGAGTTGGTTTTTTAAGCAACAATGTCCCAGTATAATAGTATAATATCATACAAGAAACTTACATCTGAATAAGTAGCTGATTCTATTTAATTAACCTAGCCTAACATCCATCTACTCAACACATTCACCGCTTTGAAAATATTCATCTTATTAAGTTACTTTAAGTGAAAAGGGAGCCATAACGTAAAGATTGAAGTTGCAGCCGTATGACTTGTAGATCACTGGTTTGAGTTATGGAATTAGCCTCTCTTTCAAATGAAAAGTAATGCTAGAAGGCTACTTGTTTACTAAACCTATCATGGCTGGAGCTTTATAACACTAAGTTTACCTTTTAATAACTTCAGGTTATGTCTTACTGATATCCACAAGAAATTGATATTTCCTATGTTCAGCTTCAGAAACATTTGCAATCATCCAAAACTGAAATGTGATTCACCACGGTAGAAAGCGTATCTTCCTTTTTGTTTTTGTTTTGAGGGAGGAACTGAGTAAAGCTTTTGTTGGCACATAAACACAAGATTTCAACGTCAGACTAAATCAAGCCTAGCACTCAAATCTTACACTTACCACTTAAAAAAGAATATCACTTCACTGCATGTTTTCCCACCTATTTCTTACTATTTGGTCTTAACATTCCAATCAGATCATTCTAAACAAACAGTTATCATCTAAGGCCCACCAGCTACATAGGCATTTTGAAAGTTTAAGGAGAATTTGAAAAGTGTAAACAGGTATATCATCTATCCAAAAGCTACAAATGAAGAAAGAATACAAATGTTTTACCATGTCATTCCATGATCCAAGGAAATTACATCCAAGAAATGCAAGTCAATCTCAAATACTTAGGTGGGTAACCTACCGGCTAAATGTCAACATCTCAGTTCAAACTTCAGAAATAGTGTGAGACTCGCATTAAATCCCTATACCAATTATCATAACCACTAATAAAATGTATTCTTCCAAAAACCATTGAGTAAAACATGGAAGTACTCACCTCATGAGGACCTCCAGGGTTGTGACTTGCTGTCAGTATAAATGCTCCTGTTGCCTTGGATCCCTGTAAATAACATATTTTTTATGCACTGCTTTTCTTTAATTTAGGAGAAAAATAGTTACCTAGGCTAAAAAACATGGACTGTCGGATAAAACCAACAAAAAATCTAATCAAAGAGAAAGGAAGTATGAAGAGAAGTAAATTACAAAAGACATGACTTACATCAACTCCAACTCTTTCACGTATAACAGCAGATACTGCAGGAGTTGAAAGCAACCCATTTTGACCAATCCAAATACGTCTTACTCCATTTGCTGCTGCCATTTTTGTTATAATCTACAGATTTATCAAAATCATTAATGATGTACAAATTAATATTATATTGCTTTTAAGAAGATATGCATGTGATGTACAGCAAGCTACATATATCCCCTCATAAAAGAAATTCACTATCAAAAAGATGCATAAACCAGTGGTGTAGTGAGCTAAAGAAACATGTTTTTCAGGGGTAATGAATTTAGAAGCTAGAAAATAATAATTTGGTTCTGTCTCGTTATTATAATCTTTAATTTGTACTTTATAGTTTAACTAAAAGTGACAGCCATTTCAAAGACCAACATAATAAATTTTATCCAAAAGACCACAAGTTGTGAAACTAGATTAATCAAAATGCCTGCCTGAGTTATGTATTGGAAGTACTAATCAACTTAAACCCAAGAAGCTCGATTTCAAAGCAACAACATCAAATAAGTCTACCAATGCATGTCAAGTTTTGCAAAGACATGGTATCAATTCACCAACACAAAATAGTATAATTAACAAACCAAATTCTTTAGACGTAAAGAAGTCCACATTAAAAGGCAAGAATGGCATATATGTAAAAAGCACCTGAATTGCTTGCTCTGAATAATAACGACCATCACCAGATACAACTAGTGTTGCACCTACAAATATGAAAGGTTCAGTTATCAAAACCCACATTGGAGTATAACTGTAACTCAAAAAGGAAACAGTTTCAAAAGACAACATATAAATATTTGGATTTATATTTACAGACAAGATATGCTGAATCTATTTCTGTTAGGAATAAAAGAGGCATATTAATTTCATTATTGTGAGTTTGAGTGATGCCGTAAAAACAAAACATTAATGAACACCAACCTCTAACTTTTTCTTCAGTTAATGCATTGAATGATGCCTGAACAAAGTTTTCAAGGTAATGAGGTTGCACAAATACTTTCACCTGTAAAGATCCATCCAATACAGTATTAGATAGTCCGTATAATCAATAATCCAATCCAATCCAAGTGAAACCGATCTTGCAACCCGTAGAACATTCAGATTCAAATTACAATGTGATTCCGATGAATAATTATAAAAAATAAAGAATAAAAAATAAAAATAAATAATAAAAAAGCAATTGAAGAGAAGCAACAATCAAATCCATGTGAAACCTATCTTGCAACACACAATTAGATTCAATTCAAACTACAATGTGATTGGATGAGTAATCATAAATCAAATTTCTCGATCATTAATTGCTGAAAATGAATACGAATTATGAACATGCAAACTATTAACATATCATATAGCTTAGTTCTTTCTGATCCAATCACAATTCATAGATGCAGGTCACAATCAAAACAACATAATCGAATCAAATACAGATCGGATTGATAAGATCTAAATTCAAATACGATCCAGCAATATAATCATCAGAAAAAATAAATCCAATAATAATAAAAACAAAACGAATTGAGGAAACGATGAAATGAGTTAAAGAGAAACGAAATCACCTTCTTGCGGAGACCAGAGGTTCCAGGCTTCTGTCCATCGAAGGGAGTAGTTTGAATGTGTGAAACACTGAAGAGCACCATTGTTGCCTGATCAGAGAAAAACGAAATCCAGAAATTTCAGATTTCAGAGAGAGAGAAAGAGAGAGAGAGGAGAGAAAGACTAGTGTACCTTACGAGAGAGTATAATGAGAAAGGTTCTGGAAGAAAATAAATTGTGATTATTTTTGTGCGAAGGGGAATTTAAAGGCCTTTGTGCATCGCTGATTTCGGAACTTTGTAGTAGTATGTCTTTTTATTTAAACCACGGGTTGTAATTAATTAGTTAGATAATGCATTTCAAAACAGGAAATAGAAAGAACGGTAGTGAATTCAATTCCTTTTCTTTTGCAATCTTTGTTTTGTTTCCTCCGCCCTCATTTATAATCCTTCTGAGTTCTGGCATTTTAAATACATTAAACAAACTATTAGTGTAATTAATTTATATCAAAATTACACTTTTTAAGAAAAATAAAAAATAATATAATACTTTAGAGTATATTTTTGATAAGTTTAGTGGGATGATATAAAAATATTTTAATTAATTATTAGTTAGGAAAAAAATAAGAGAGTAAATTATTATTAAAAATATATAATTTTTAACATATAATAAAATTAAAATTAAAATATATAATTTAAAATAAAACAAAAGTGTCTTTTATTTTTTACTTCTTTTCATTCAAATTAAGTACTTCCATCAATTTTTATTCCTTCTCAATAAAATTAAGGATATTCTTCTCTCACATTTAAAGAATATTTGGTAAATTTCTACTTCTTTTTTGGTATTGATGCATGTAATTCTTTAATAGATTATAATTAAACTGCATTATATTTCATCAAAAAAAATGCAATTTATTTTTACAGTACTATGACACAAAAATGTATAAACCATGCTATAAAGATAGCAAAAGTGTTGAAGCAAGACGAATTGTGATTTTAGAAAGTATCAGAGCTATTTATATTAAAAGATTTTTGTAGGACAAAATATGGTTATGTTAATCATGGTCGTCTTTCGACATTTGTTGAGATGGCACGCAAAGATGTCATCATTTTATCTTTTTATTGGTGAAATGATTATTACTATTGATTGATGTATCATGCATCCTCCATCTTTCAATTGCAAAAAGATTGTTATATCACTCAACAATTCATACATCTAAGACATTAAACTTAATGGTGATAGAACTAGGAGTTGGTCCGAGTGAAGTGAATCAAACATTTTTCAACTTTTAATTCGAGTCAAACTCACATCAAATTTCATCAATTGAAACTCTTGAACTTTCAATCTCGTACATCCATCGATGCATATTTAAATGCATTTTCATTTTCCATTCATCTCACTTGCAATCTCCATTCTCTTTCTACCCAAACCTCTCTCTCTCTCTCTCTCTCTCTCTCTCTCTCTCTCTCTCTCTCTAAATTTCATCAAAGTTCATAAGTTCATCAATATTTACCATTGGAAAATAAAAAATCATCAAAGATCCAAAAGAGAAAGCACTGTCGTTCTACCACATCTCCTCTTATTCCAATAAAGAAGAGACTAGTTTACCAAAATTATAAGAAAAAAGGTGACTCCTCTATATCAAACGTCATATTCGTTACTCCAAATCCCTTTGATTTATTTTTGCTTTGTCTCCAAATCTATTTGTAGCACTATACAAGAGTGAAGCATCTTATTTTTGAAGACGAACACAAAAGATTTCATGAGTTGTTTCTAAACAAAGACACTACTTAAGCATACTACCTGAATAAAAAGTACAACCCTAATCATGGCAAGGCCTTCTACTACAACGTTTTAAAGCACAATACATAAAATGGACTCTAGTGTCAATTTGTGAGAAGTTTTTTAAATTTACAAATGTAGATTTCTTATAAGTTATCGAGTTAGAGAATAGAGGTATTGAGATTGATCTATTGAACCATGCAAAGGAGTATTAGAAAGTTCAGATTGTTAGATCAATTTTGAAGACATTTTTTCAAGGTCATTTAGATGTCAGGAATTTTAATGTCATCTAGATGAAATGCGAGATGTGCATGATCTATAGGGTTACTGATCTTACTAGATCAGAAAAGGATCAGCAGCCAGTAACATATCGTGAGCTCCTTAATTCTCTGATGGTGGAGAAGTTGAGGGAGTGTACCTGCAAGGTACTATGATGTCAAAGTAACAGACGGAGTAAAAAAACAAGTGCAGAATACGAGTGTACCTACAAGTGCAGAATACCTGACACTCTAGTGAAAGAGGGTATTTATAATGTGTCTCCAGCGTTGGGCCAACGGTTATTTTGCATTGTGTTGGATTGCAAGGCCCAATACGAGTAACTACCAGGGCTTACGTGGCGTAGGAAAGACCAACACGTGGTTTTCACCCTGGGTCAACTGCCCTGTGATCTTCGGAAGGTGAGTAGTTGCCTGATGACGTGTCCCCGCGTGGGGGCACGTGGAGTCCGTGGGGGAGATCTGTGCGAGCTCCTCGTGTGCGTTGATGGATTGGGCCTTTATTGGACCTTCTCTGACGAGGAGCTAGATTGAGTTGTGCCCGATGGAGAACCAGCCTCTGGCTCAGTCCAGAATTGTTATTATTAAGATTCTCTATCGAAAATCCATAAATTGGGCAAGATTTGACTGACTTGTTTATGGTGTGAGTTTTAGTTACAAGATAAAATGTCAACTAGGTAAAACTCATCATCGACCAAATCATGATTTGCAAGGCAAATGCAAATCGTTCTATTTTATACACTTCCTTAATTTATATCATTCCTAAAATGAAAAGTATTACCTCACTAGAGTCTGACCTTCACGAGGGGCCAGAGTTGTTTCATAACTTTATGGTGAAGCAAATGCATTAATTTTTGGATAAGGACAAAGAGTATTATTATCAAGACAAGATGTGCGGAATTAATGAAGATAAGTTTGATGTTGTTGTTGAAACTCTTGAAGACTTTGTTCCTTGAAAGACGTCTCTTGAGTCATATATTTTTGTTCCTGGTTGGGTTATTGTTGATAGGCTAACCCCCGTGGTCAAGGCCTACATTGATCATTGCTTCAATCAAATTATCATGGATGCCCGAGCTAGGGAAGATTGGAAGATATCCAAATAGGAACAACAGACTGTAGAAGCTCGTACAAATTGGCCAAACATCAAAAAGGGGGAGACACAAATTTATTTGTCATTAACAATGCGATTTCATATGTATTTCGATGTTCTGTCACATTTTAGATGTTTTCGATTTATTTTTTAATTGTAATTTTGATTTTATCGCTTTGTCGTAGTTTCAATTTTATGTTTATCACAGTGATGTACCTTTCAAATATCCCTAACTCTCACTTAGGTTGAAATCATGCAATGTTTTTTAAATTGAGTAAAATAATCAAAAGTCAATTATGTATGACTTCAATCACAAGTTAGTAGTCTTAAAACAAGATAACTTTTAAGCTTGATTCGAATCACAACTTTGACTAATTCGAATCAAGAGTATGAAATTTAGAAATTGGTGTTGTATTTTTTATTTGAATCATGGTTTTGCCTGAGTCAAATCATTGATATTGCTGATTCAAATTATGCATGAAAAATATATTTTTAGGATTCATCTCTGGTTGTGTGATTCGAATCAGGTTAGCTTGACTTGATACACATGATTCAAATCATGACCAAAATTAAATTTACATAACCAAAATTTTATCATCTTGATTCAAGTCACTCTTTCATCTAATTTATATTATAATTGTAGGATTTGTTTCACCTTTTTGTGTCTTATCTCTTAACACATATATAAATCATACTTTTCACGATCCTTAAAAAACCAAGAGTGTTCATTCATTCACAAGCACCTTATCTCCCAATTCAAACTTAAATATTCTTTTTGTTTTGATTAAGTGTTGTGTGATATTTTTCTGAGAACCAATCATCTCCAACCTTTAGCCAAAGACCTCATTGTTCTAGTTACTCAACTCTAAGAGTGAGTGTGAGTGGTAGTTCGAAGGTACATTATAGATTCTAATTTTTTTTTGTGAAACTCATTGTGTATTATTAGACTGAAGTATCAAATTTCGATTATGAATTCTAGAGATTGTCTTCCAGTGAATAAAAGGATTAATTTATTCTCAAAAGGAAAATTTTGGTAAAGTCGAGTGAAGATTGCTATGTAAATTTTGGAGTTTTTAACACCTTCAACAATTCAAATACTCTCACAAAGGTAATTTTGGTAGGATTGAGTGAAGATCGATGCAAACAAAATCTTGAAGTGATTTTATTCAGGGAAGATGGTTGATACAAGTCAAGTGATGGTCTTGAAGAATTGGCAGTTCTATGAGTTGCATTCCACATAAAAAACATCAAGATTCATATATGTTTTGCTTAAGCTTTTAGTGTTAAGCTTTCAATATTTTATGTGATTATCTATTGTATAAAACATTGTGTACTAATTTATGATATAGTTGAAGACAGTCGAATTTTCAATGGTTTGTCATTGAAGACAGGACTAGGTGCAAGCGCGGACGGCATATTGAACCAATATAAATACACGTGTACAATTTTCTCTATCATTTTTTTTAATTCTATTTAGTTTGCATGTTCATATGTTTGTATTGTTTTCCAGCATTATCTTTTTCTAAATTGTATGTTTTTAGGTTTATCATTTATAGTGCTTTGATGTTTAAACATAGTTTGTGTTAGATATATTATATGCTAAACATTATTGTTGTTGATTATATATGCATAAACATGTATATTAAATTGTCATTCATTTAATAAAACTCCATTCAAAACATGTCGTTGTGAATTTAATTTAATTAATTGGCAAATTGTGTTAGTAAATTCATCGGTCTAATTTTTCATAATATTTTCTGTTCATTAAGCAAACTGTACAAACGTCTGTAATGCATTTTTTGTAAAAATTTCTACTCTCTCTCATTTTGAAAACTTTGATTTTTGAAAACCTTTTTGAAAATAATTTTTACGAGGGGAAGGTTTATTTAACCCCCTCCCCTTTCTAGGCCACCTAACTCCCATATTCAACCCAACAGATTCAATTATATTAAATGTG